TTTTTGTCTCCTGATCTAAAAGTTTCCTGTTGCATTCGTAAACCTTTCGGTTACAAACTTGCAGATTTCCACGCGTTTATGGATGCATGCAAGGTGAAGTAGTGTTTTCCTTCATCTGTCAGAGACTCGAAGTCAATTCTATTAGTTTTTAGCAATTCTTCGAGAATATCTAAATCGCCTCCTTTTGCGGCAAAGTGTATAGCATTCCATCCTTTGTCATCTTTGCAGTTCAAGAGTGATATGAAATATTCGATTACAGTAAGAAACAACATCTTTACTGCCATATTCACATGCAATATGCAGAGAAGTTTTACTCCCGTTAGTTTTGGATTTGAGCAGTTGTTCGTGTTTGTTTTTCAGAAGTTGCATAACCTCCACATTATTAGACATTGCAGCATAATGAGCAATGTTCCAACCACTTGCATCCACCTTTTCTATATCAATTTCTTTTTCATTTTCTATAACATGTCTACAGAAATCATTTTCCTTTTTCATGCATGCAATGTCTAAAATGCCTAGACCATTCTTTGTTAACTTCGTCAAATCAACATAAGCTTCCTTCAAAACTTCAAGGATCCTTAAATCTCCATTCCATGCAATCCAGTGAAATGGCTCAAATTTACCCGTCCTAATAGACGCATTTTTGTTTTCTTCCATTGAACTTGATTGATCTACTCCATCCGTGCTTTTTATAAATGTTTTCCCGTGTTGTGTAATAAGATATTCGCTCATATCTTTTCGCTTATATCTTATAGCAAAATGCAGTGCATTTTGACCCTGGTGACTTTCGTTTTGAAGTCTTGCTTCTGGATCAGTTTTTAAAATTGTTTTAAGTATGGTGATTGATCCCCCTTGAGCTGCATAATGCAATAACGTACATCCATGTACATCATATTGATGAAATATTTCATTTTTCTTTTTTGGTATTACCTTAGATTCAACGAGATAATTAAAACCAACATATACGCCATTGAGACATTGTCTTTTTAAGAGATCAAAAAGCTGTGCATCTTCTACTGTGAAATCGACACAAAATGTATCTGCCTTTGTCATCTGTAAAAATATAAATCAAAATCATATGTAGAAAATTAATTGGTGGAGTAGGCATATAGAATATGAAGTCACAATCTTCTTTGGTTCAAACGTTATCATGGTTATGGCAAAAGTTCAAAATAGACATTTTAGCATAAGGTCACAGTCGAGGTCACAAGGTCATTGACCTTTGGTGTCACATGAAAGAGCTTAATTAGTGGAGTATGCATTCAAAATATGAAATCTCTTTTCTTTAGGTTCCAAATTTATGGTGAAGGTTAAAGTTGACAACAGACAAACAGAAAGATAGGGCAAAAACAATATACATGTACGCTCCGGATCTATCCGGGTGCACGATAAAGAGTGATGAAATGTCAAACTAAGATTTACATATGTACATATAAGAAAATACAAGGACATGCAGCTATGATTAGGCAAGGGAGAGATACATGTAGCATGACAAAGCTGCCTAATTTTATCTTAAATATTTAACACATTTCAAAAAGAAATTGTTACTTTAGGAAGTTTCATTAAATACATCTGTTTACGATTGAAACGTATTGAGAAATCCACACTGTATTACATTTAATAAATCCTGAATGTTTAAGTAAGAGGTAATAAATGCATCTTTTTAAAAATATATACATACACGTAGTCACACAACGGTTATATTTAAATTTTCTGATAAAAGGCATAAATAGCATAGGTATTAGTTACTTATCAAAAAGGTTTTATAACTATCTTGAACTCAGTAAATCTAAATTTATGATTGTACATTATAAAACTTTTGAATTTGTTCATTATTAAACGACAGTTACTTGCAATGCCATGATCTCTCTTCAATGAGAGTTTGTCCATATATTTTTCTCCTTTGTTCAGTTTTATCAAGCAAAAATAAACGATGTACATATAGATACCTTCCATGTTTAAATGATCCGATCTCATGTTTTCACTTTCTGAGTTTATTCTCCCTGCAAAATGAATATTCATAAGAAAAGCAATATATAGAAACAGTGGAATAATCGCATTTTATTCAGAAATCAAAGGACAAGGTATGGTTTCGACTGAATCTGACCCCTTAAACATGTATGTACATGTAGTAAAAATCAAAAACACAGTTAAAATCATTATAGTCATTATAAAACTGTAACTAAAAGTGTAACTTGTTTTAAACCAGCACAAATTTTGAATTAGAACTAAGACAGAGGGCAAAATGGGTGCAGATATTAGTTCATTTTTTCAGAATTTTTTCAGTTCTGCTGAAATTTTGTCAAATTTAAGAAACTTTTAAATTCGGAAAAAAGAGCACAAGCTTGCCTATCTGAGATTTTAATACACAAGATGTATCTGATACTAGAGTATGAAATATATAAATTTTGTAGATAGGGAAATTTGTGCTCTATGTTTTCTAAAGCAAAAATATGATGCAAAATCGATGAAGATTTGCATAGAAATGACGTATTCCCGATCTTCCTCTGAATTTTGTATATCATGTAGCTTAGATCGAACAAGTACTCAATTTGTGGCAAAGGAGATAAGAGAATTTTATTGAGAAACTGTTGCGTAATTATAAAAGACACCCAAAGCTCGGGACAAAAAGGGGTCTTAGTGTATCCTGTCCTTTGCTAAAATTGTGAACAAAATTAAAATCTTACTCTTAAGAAGTGGATTTTCTTCATAAGTCAAGTTTTGCTTTTTTTTCTCTGAAAAAAAATCCCAGGAATTAGTACATATACACATGTTTACATGTACAATGACTTCGCTGATAGATTTAAAAAATGTCATGAAAAGGGTAAAGAAAACCAACAATAATCGATCTTAAATAAAAATATTAACAATACAAAAGTGTGAAAAGGGCACCCTTGAAAGCTCAAGAGATTAGATCAGATGCCTAGGAGGAGTTAGTATCCCCCGTAGACCGATCATGCCACCGTGAGGCTTCTATATTGATCAGATAAACAAAACAACCCGTAGTAAAATTCAGCATAAAATCAAAGGACTTATATGTCTGTCCTAATACCAGAATCCATGGCCCAATGTCATGAAATTTATAAATTTGAAAGAGGTACCCTCATCATGTCTACTATGCAATAAGTTGAAGATTTTCAAATAATTCCCACATTTTTTTTACTACACTATCATAGAGCACACACCCCTCGGAGAAACATTAGAACCCCTGAAACAACAAGTTTAAAAAATATATATAAAAGCGCCCTTGCTCATCAAAATAAACACTGATTTTGTTTCTTTACTTTACAACCAGGAGTAGTAAAATTATTTTGAAATAAATTATGCATTTTCACAATATAATCAATTGAACCCCCATCATGATCAGAACCCCTTACCCTTGGGCCATGAATATCAAAATTTTGAATATCGCATTTCTGCTTATCCACCATGTTCCCTTTGATTAAATACTAGTAATAACCAAGGGCAGGGGAAAATAATTTCAAACAAATAATGCGTTTTCACTATATAATCTGATATATATTGATTAAATCAATAGAGCCCCACCCTTACATGAGAACGCCTGACCCAGCGGCCTTAAAATTCACAATGGTGGAAGAGGCAGACATGGTCAGCATAACTATTTACTTCAGTTAATTTATTCAATACCCATGAGCAAAGAAGATTTAATGTACTATCAGAGCCCCACCTTTACACCAGAACTCCTGACCCTGAGGCCATGATGAGGCATTTTTGCTCATCATCACTATGTACTAAGTTAGCTTGTTCAATACCCAGGAGCAGAGGAGGACTTGTCAAAGAATTAAGGCATTTTCACTGTATAATCGGTAAGTATGTGCCGGATGCTTATTACAATAATGTCAAATGTAGAAGATTTTTAAAGATTGCATTAACCAGGGTGATAGGGACCATGACATTCAATATTGTTTTTCCCCTTTAATCATAGATACTATATGCCAAAATTGGTTTAAAGAGCAAGAGCCATCTTATGCATAAAATAGCCCTGTACTTATATCAATTTATTAACTATCACCCTCTTTCCCATTTCATATATCAAAATGAAGTAGACATTTGGTGCTTTCATTTTCTATAATAAATTTCGTTATGAGAATCCAAAAACAGATCTGAGAAATTGCAATGTTTTTGAAATTTGCAGAAAACATGCGTATTTGACTACCTTCAGCAGAGAATTAAAATATGAGCACAGTCCACAGTCGAAAAAATAAATTAAACATGTTTTTTGATCTTCAGAAACAAAGCTTTCATCATGTATCTGCATATTTTGAATCAGAGGTTGTGCTCTATAAGAAATATTGAAAAAATGCTTCAACCGGTCATTTTCAAAGGAATTTACAGAATATGAGATATACGACGCATTTAATGACGTCATGATGCATCGAATAGATGGGAAATTACGTCACGATTAATTAATACGTGGTCACCAACACTCCAAGGGATAAATACTGTATTTTCAACCTAAACTGAACGGTTTCGATTTTTCAGAAATTCTCAGGGCCAAATTAGGTCCAAAGTGGTTCATGCTCTTTGTTTAGCTGAAAATGTTTAAGGCACGACGGACGATAGGCAAAACACAACGTAGGACGAGAACGTAACGGATAGGAATAGGTCACATGTCACCTGAGTGACTCGGGTGACTTAAAAATATACTCACGTTTTTGTTGTTTGTTGTAGCAGAAATGAATTATTTTGACAAGAACGCACATAATGGTCAATATTGATAAAACGGAAAATGCCGCAATATAGCCAGTGCAAAGGCATTCATCTTGTCTACCCTGTTTCATTGCTCTTTGTCTGTAAATATTACAAAAACATTTTTAAAAAACAATATAGGAAAACCATTTTAAAGAGATATACATGCAGGAATATTGAAAACTGAAAGAAATACCTAGTTGATTTAACTAGTGTGCTTCGTAAAGCGTAAAAAGTGTGTCGTGTAAGTAATTGATTAAATTTTATTTAAAGTCGGACTATTTATACACATAACATAGGACATGAGCTTTAAAGCTCTTTTACCGACTAGAGACATAGAAAAAAAATTAGCACAAATAAAACTCGGATATAACACATCATATTATTATGCTGACTGTTGTTATTGTTTATGCGGCAACCCATTTGATTTTTTCCTGAAAATAATGGTGGTAACACAGCGCACTTGCAAAAACTCATTGAAAATCTTCATGTTAAAATTAGTTGCATGCTTAGTTATTTTGGTTACTAGTATTTTCTCTAAATAAGTCAAAATTTTCTGTCCCAAAGATACTCATATTTATTTTCTGTTTTGTTAGTAAGACTGATTTGTTTACAGACGTGGATTCTCATTGATAATTTTCTTTTACATCCTTCAATCAAGCGCTATATAAAAAAGCGTCTTAATGACCCCCTGATATCAATTCATCTAACGATCTGTATGTAGGCTAATTAGTTTGAAACTTTGTTGTACACATTTATCTAAGATTCCTTAGAATAAATATAACTGTTTTCAAATAATATTTGTCTATTTTCTCCTTCTTGTGTCAATTGTATAAATTAAGTTTATATATTTAATAAAATTCTGCCAATCAGTGATCGTCTCTGTGGCGTAATCGATAAGGCATCGGACTGGCAACCTCATGGTCGTGAGTTCGATTCCCGGTGTGTGCATTGATGAATTTTATTCAGAAAATAAGGCCGTGCACTATTTCGGCATAGTATGCTTACGCTATATAAATCCTTAGACCACTATGCGAGAATAGTAGGGTATGGGTTATATAGAGACAATCTGACAGGAAGCATAATAATTATATAATAGTGTTGCATTATGCATGTACTATGCCTAAATAGTAGGCAAGGTTTGACACATGGTGCACGAGCTGGATATGCATGTACTATGCCTAAATAGTAGGCAGGGTTTGACACATAGTGCACTCGCCTCCGGCTCGTGCACCATGTGTCAAACCTTGCCTACTATTTAGGCATAGTACATGCACAATGCAACACTATTATATAAATAGATACACTGTAGTGCAGTTAATTTATCTTCTAGTTCCAAAGTGAAATGTTCATCATTAAAATTTTTAAAACTTCTAAACATTTTTTCTTTGTTTCACTTTCTCTAATTTTAATATTTACCCGAACAGAAATAAAAGTATGACAGTCACTATTACCACTTCCAAAATTACATACTTTACCACGTTTATTATTTTCGTTGGTTATAATAACATCTAAAAGATATGGTTTCCCAATCTTAGTGAAACATGTTGCTTTTTAAACCATATATTTGACATCATGTGTATCAAATTTGCCACATATTACAGAGCTTTTATTTTTGTCAAGCACGCTAAAAGTTAAACTTACTGCTACATCAGACGTTTTCTTTCATCTGAGGTGGTTTGTAAGCACCAACAAAGAACCATTTATGACCATTTAATGTTACCTCTATGCCCACTGACTCTATGTCTTTGAATTCAAGGGTGGGTTTATGGTCTTCTGCTACGTCTGATCTTAAGTATGGTAGCATATCTCCAACATGCTTACGTTGATCGGCCCACCATCAGGTGAAGGAAATTAAGTGCAAAATACAGTAACTATTTCATAAAAAATATTGAGAAAGTACTGAAATAAAGTTACTTTCGACAAGTCCTTATGCTACAATTTTATTAGATGAAACATTTAGTAAAACAATTGTTATACTTACTTTTTTCTATCAGTTCGTAGCTTAAGACAACTGATATCCGCTATGAAACAGTTCTCAAGTATATTCAAACAAGCTGGATCTGTAATTAAATGACAATTCAAAAAGTAATTCCAGATGCAAAATTATTTTTAAAAAGCTTTGAAAAAATTTTTACTGATATATATAACTTACAGTTATAGAGCTCGTTGCTGTTGTAGTCTTGATCAGGACAACCAAAAGAGAAATTTTTGCACTTGACATGGTTCAAAATACCAGTGTAAGCAAGCTCAAGACAATTACCTGAAAATACGTGCTTGGTTTATTTTCACATTGGTATTGCAACACACAGGTATAAAAATCATATACTTCTAATAGTATTTAGACTCACCCTTTTACCTTTCTGGAAACGTTTAAATTTTCCGTCGGGGTAACAAAACTCTATAAGAGATGTGAATGTCTTATCAGGGACGCAGTGGTATCCATGTGAATCATTGCAATGTAGTCTGGTAGAGGCAGCATCCCATTCACTTTTGTCTCTTGGACATCTCTCAGTCGTATAAACAGGAAAAGAATAATCTGATAAGACGTCTTCCTAAACGATATTTATGTTTTTCAGATCAATTTTAGTTTCTTTTAGAATTATTTTACTATAAAAAGTATATTGATCCAAAGAATAATATTTTAAATTTGTTTTAAAACAAAGCATTTTACAGACTACATAAGGTCAAACATCAAACATTTAATAAATAAAATTTTAGTGCAACAATATTAATTAATTTACCTTTGCTGTTAAAACTATCAAAATAGTCAGTAGCAACATCTTAAAGTTTTCCTGAGAATTCCTGAAATTAATGCCTTATTAGAAATGATTCAACGTGGGGGAAAAATCAATTTTAGCTAGATAGTAGCTCTTGTACATAATCCAGCCTTGTGTTTTCCGGAGTGCTTGTTTTGTTCTCGATATGAATAATTTATGTGATGTATGAAATTCACAACTGTGAGTTATGTTCACTTAAAAGCACTACCTGTAATCAATTAAGGCACATTGATACTCTCATAAGAGAGATAACTCTTAATGACACAAATGTCTATTATTCCCTTATAAATTTGTCAAGTTGAAGTGCCCTTTTTGTCAAATTTTGACCCGCCAGCCATGCTATAAATATTTGTATTTTATGCAACATATAAATTTCCTTTGGAAAATCATAAAAGTTAAAGAAAAATTTTATATGAGTGAGCAGAGGGTTTATAAACCTTAAAGACTAAGTTTTTGATGTCATACACAACTGTTTTGTCTATTTATGAAGCATAATACCAGGTATACCGGGTGTAAATTTTCGAAAATACAGACGTCTCTTGCAGCTGTCTTTAATTAGACATTCAGATATCTACGTCGTTTTATCAATTAACAATATTCAGTGTCTTTATACCTCAGCTTAAAAGGCTGTAGGGTACATGTATGTAGTGATCGGGATGTCAGTCCGTCTGTCCGGCCGTCTGTTCGTTCGTTTGCCCGTCCGTCCGACTGTTGCGCATTGGGCTACCCATTTCTTATCAACACTTATTGAAACTTAATGAGACTTTCACTGAATCTTTGTTACACGGTCACACTGAAACCTCCTATTTTAGTTTTGGATCCGACACATTTTTGGGGGTTCCCATAGAAAAAAACATGGACACTGATATTTTCTTTATAATATCGAAGGAGGGTACCTTTGGAAGGGTACCTATCTCTTATCCACAGTTCCTGTATACCATGACTGAAATTAAAGCAGACTTTCACAGATTCCTTATCATATAATGTCATTTTGCACCTAATATTTCACTTTTTGACATGACACTTATTGCAGGTCTCCCACAGCAAAACATAAACTGTAATTTACAAATACAACATATGATAGGCAGGGAATATTATTAAGCTAGCTCTGTGCTCACTGTATCTCAAGTTCAAAAGATAAATAAATCGAAATAACGATACAAAATTTTCTTGTAGTTCTCTTTCCTAGCTGTTTTGATTTATGTATTTCATTAGAAATCTCTTGATTTTTTTCCCCTGAAATTAAGTGTTAAAAACCAATTGCAAATCGTACACGGACGTTAAATATAGGGAAAAAACCAATGTATCAATATTGGAGTCAGTCAATAAAAAAACTTTAATAAAGATAATATATACTGATTGGGCTAAATCCTATTATGATTTGAGTACTTTGGCCCTTGACCTTTGACTCTGTGACATCACAATGAATTGGCGTCTCGTGCTTTCTTTTATAAACAGATATCTTTCAATATTTTTATTAATATACGTACTTTCGTTTTGAGCACACTGGGTATATACCGTAATATTAATAACCAATTCACAATCGTTATAATATGACTGATTTGAAATTGGTGAACTATGAGAAAAATATATTTTTTGTACATATCCTCACAAAAAAGTAATCAAATGTTAAATTAAAAACTTACCAATTTGTTGTTCTTGTAAAGATAATACCAAGCTATTACGTAATTTACCTATGTATCATGTCCATACTTATCTACGTATTGTAAAACGCATAGTTTAACCTGAAGAATTTAACACGGATGATTGACAAACAATTGACAAAGAAGTCAGGGTATATTTTATAAAACCACAAAGACGGGGGAAGTTGAATTTTTTGTGCAGTTTTAGCCGTATTGATTTTCTGCAAATGATTATTGTTGTTCCATGCAACAAGAATTTAAAAAAAAAAATGTAAAAAGATCAGAGAACTTATTGTTCTTGTGCAAAGTCTGAATCGGCTTATTTTGTGGTGTTTAGGGATATCATAAAAAGTATTGTCTATAAAATCCTGTATTTCTAAATAATAAATTTCGAGTGGTCTTATTTAAACTATCCAACTGCAGCAATATTTTTTTACCTTGACTTTTCTTTGACCTTCACTTAACTTTTCTTGAAATTATTTTTAGCTTTCTTTTAAAGATACCATTCAAGTTGTGTAATGAATCGTCACATGATGATGCATACTGATGTAAGCTATACAATGCTTCACTCTTTTTTTACCTTGACATTTCCTGTGACCTTGACCTCACTTTTCTAAAATTAATGTCTAGATCAGTTTTGAATAAACAATTCAAGATATATTTATGAAACTTCATATGCTAATACATACTGCTGAGAGCTATTAATGCATCAACTTATTTTGACCTTGAATTTTCTTTTGGCCTTGACCTCACTTTTTAAAATATGTGTTTATCTAAGTTTTAGATAATCCATTAATTATATTTTTATCAAACTTCATATGCTAAAAGTAAATTCACACTGATGTAAGCTTTTCAACAGCAACAACATTTTGAACCCAACTTTACCTTTGACCTTTGACGGACGGACATGAGTAACAACAATACACTTTCTTTAGAAAGTGCGGGTATAATTAAAGAGGAGGGAGTCAAGGTCACAGGAATGTGCAAGGTGAAGTTTTTGATGCAGTTGAATAGCTAGCACTAATACATATCAGCTTATTATGTTTTGATAAAAATATCTTGAATGATTTAATGAAACTGAGCTTAAAACTTTTTTAAGAAAAAAAAGGTCAAAGGTAAAGTTGGGTTCAAAATGTTGTTGCTGTTGAAAAGCTTACATCAGTGTGAATTTACTTTTAGCATATGAAGTTTGATTAAACTATAATTAATTGTTTATTTAAAACTTAGATAAACACATATTTTAAAAAGTGAGGTCAAGGTCAAAGGAAAATTCAAGGTCAAAATAAGTTGATGTATTAATAGCTCTCAGCAGTATGTATTAGCATATGAAGTTTGATAAATATATTTTGAATTGTTTACTCAAAACTGATTTAGACATTAAGTTTAGAAAAGTGAGGTCAAGGTCAAAGGAAAGGTCAAGGTAAAAAAGAGTGAAGTATTGTAAAGCTTAATACATAAGTATGTATCATCATGTAAAGTTTCATTACACAACTTGAATGGTTTCTTTAAAGTAAAGCTAAACAGTAATTTAAGGAGACTAGGGGGTCAACAAATTATTTTTTTATTAACCACCGGTTATGACTTAAATTTGGGGATATGATATCTTAAGCCGTCAACTATCATTTGGCAAAAAAAAATTTCATAAATTTTAGTTTTAAAATTTGATCATTTTATCATTTTTATTATATCTTATTATATCTATATGGAGCTCTTCTTCTAAAGGAGCCCAAAATAGTCTAAAAATGGCCGCAACCACCCAACCTCTTTAAAGAAAAGTTACGTGAAGGTCAAAGGAAAAGTCAGAGGCAAAAATATTGCTGCAGTTGGATATTTACATCAGTATGCATCAACATATGAACTTTGATAAAAATATCTAGAAAGTTTCTTTGAGCCCAATGGAAAGACAGATGGAAGGGTGGAGGACGGACATGACAAAAACTAAACATGTATTCCTAATCATGGTGTGGCATAAAAAACTTGAATCTACATTATATGACGATGTTTCCATCTATCAAGATTATGCAAATTCAAAGAATTGTGGTCCTCTGCTTTCTGTGATTTAGTGAATGGGATGCCATAATTTATGGCATATTATGTCATTGAATATGCACCCATATCATATATCAATTTTTGAAAATTAGGTCAAAGGGGTAAAATCATAGCATGTTCTGAAACATTTTGTTGCAGGTAATGTACATGTCAAATATAAAAGTCATACATGTATCTCTTTTGAATCAAAATTTATATATACAATATAATATTTTTGAAAAGTAGGTTAAACTTCTTGGTCAAGGTCACAGAGTCAAAAGTAATGATATATTTAGAAAAGTTTTTTCACATGTAATAAACATGTATAATTTGAATGCCCTTTCTTTTCTCTTTCAAATTGATCAATTTAAAATGTTATTTTTTGGAAAGTAGGTAAAACTTTAAGGTCAAGGTCTCACTTGGGTTAAAAAATCATAGTATATTTAGAAAGTTTTGTGGTATTGTACATGTGAAATAGGAAAGCAGTATCTCTTATCATTCAAAAGTTATGACCAAGGTTAAATTTATTGTGACAGATGCACATACTAGCTGTCAATAAAATGGACAAACTGACAGACAAATGAGATTTAACGTCCCCTCCCTTTCCCCAAAACGGGGGACAATAATGCCCTTGCTGTTCTTGAGAAGAAGATTTATGATGGAAAATATCCCCTGCATATTTCTTAACGCAAATCAATATTGTGTTTTTATGTCATTTTGTTTGTTATTAAACATCCCTCTCAAAAATTTTTCACTCATATGGAGACACCACCACTTGAAAAATAATGAGGACAAGTTAGATTTGAGGTCAACATTCATTTTAGGAGTTTTCAACCATTAAGACATAAAGAAATATTAACTCGATCCTCCCCCTCACCCCTTCCCAGACCCCTGTTTGTTTATGTATGCAAACTACTACTTGTATTACATTAAAAAAAATTATACAAATAGTTTAATGTGGTACATCTCTGAATGATTTTCATTCCTATTCTAGGCCGCCGCCAGAAGATAAGTTGACACAAATTCATGAAAAAAATGTCAAGTAATCTTATCATTGATGCACTTTTATTTAATTTAATGCAGTCATATTGTGAACATTTCCAGCTCATTAGGAGTGAGAATGACCTCCAGGGGTTCATAACCTTTATACCATTAAATTTACATAACATAATAACACAAGAAACAAAGTTATGGAGAGTCAAATGGAAAAACTTTCCAACTATTTAGGAGTCACATGATCATTTGTCATTACAGGGTCAGGGAGTGGATTGGCTGATCGCCCTCTCAACCCCCCCCCCCCCTTGGAATTTGCAGGACTATAATATATACTGG